CTATACTAGAACCTCCATGAAAAAATACGAATTGTCACGCTAAACTTTGCTAAATGGTCACCCTAGTGGTTTACATATGTCTAGCTGTTGCTCACGACTTCGCCCGGGTGAAATTAGAATATAATAAAAAACATAGCCTATGTTACTTACCGATAACATAGCTTTTTAATAGTGAAAGAATTTGTCAAATCGGCCTAGTCTCTTTTATGCTATTTCAATACATAAAAATCGTTTCTCTTTATAATATTAGTTAACATTAGAGTTAATTAACATAGAACCTGATAATCTACGGTCCTTTTTTACATAAGTTATTGTAGAGAACTTAAAGTTCAGTCAAAAATGAACAGAAGCTTAACTACTAGAATTTATCTACCTTTATTTTATCTAAACTTATTGCTTTACGTAAAAATTTATACAAGAAAAAAACGGTTACATTCTCAAGATGGTATTTAAAAAGAAACAAATAATTTTCATTGAAAAGATCACCCCAATGAGCTGTATCAGCTACCCACGCGTTCACTGTACAATATTGGCAAATAATTAGCGAATTTACTCGCATTCCCCGAGGTAAATGTCAATACGTGGGCGTTTTTACGAAGCGTGCTTTTCTGTAATATAATATATTAAAAGCTATTCTTCGTAATTTACGTGTTCCAAAAAAACAGTGTAGTCAAATAATAATTTGAAGAAAAGATGTACAATTGAAGTCAGGGTTTCAAATGAGTTTCCACTATGTAAGACTTGTATTACAATGTACCATCATTTCTCCCTTTTAAACGGTGGTATACGAGGTAGAAGAGGAAAGCGGATTTGAGAAGCGTAAGAAAAGGGTCCTCTTTCTGTGCATCCCGTTCTCTTCTACGTCCTCTTCGTCTAATGGCATCGGTCAACTCCACCATTTTGGCGAATACAGGCCGCTTGCTCGTTTGCCACCTTACACATAAGAAAAGAAACCTTGGATATATGTATAAAAGTAGTTTTTTTTACTTTTTACAAACCAAAACTCAGGTAATTCCAAGAATCATTTAAAAACATCATAGTATTTCATGTCATATTTGGTTTCATTGTTTCATATGAAGTTATGTAACAATGTTCGCTTCGCATCAATACGTAAATATAAAAACAAATCGATTATACTTCTATCGTCACAATCGACCCTAAAATGTACTGACATTGGGCGGAATATAAGTCTAAAATTATTACTGACTTCTATTGAATGGACAGGCATTGTATCTTGTGCTTACTTGATTTACTTCTAACACTGTTTTTTGTGGGCAGGTTGCGGCAGTGGCAAGTACCTGGACATAAACCCGTCAGTTTTCACGGTTGGTGGAGACAGATGCACAAGGCTCACAGCACAAGCCAGACAACATAACAATGAGGTAAGCTTTCATTTTGTGACGATCGGGCTTTCATAAAAGGATCTTCTATTGAAAGTTAACAATGAAATTACGCTATTAAAAAGCTGGAAGGTGATTATCATGCCTTGTTTCAATATTAATGAAGGTGGACCCATGGGTTTTAGTCTCTCAAATCGATCTACTTCCAGTGTCAAGAACGCGACGACGCAAAACAACAAGATTCAAATCAGCAATCGTTGCCTTTCTTCACTGTTTCTGATTTATTATATGTTTTTGCAGGTGGTTCTATGTGACAACCTATGCCTCCCGTTCCGCGA